GGACCAAAGCGTTAAAAAAATATCATCATTTGAATATTTTTTGTGTAGAATTAATTTGGCAATGCTATTTTTGGCGTATTGAGATATTTAATTGAAAAAAGATTTGTTTGGCCTTTTCAGACATTTTCTGTGTAGTTATAACAATAATTATTCCTTAAATTTCCATTGAGGTTTTGGTATTTTAGATTCTCCTTTCCATGAAAGTTAAGGGAAAACGTGTCATTTGTTTGTTGATTTTTTATTCCGATGGATACATGTTGAGAATTATGTTTTACGGAGCTATAGTCACCAATTGAGTCATTCAATTATGTACCAAATACTCCGAAAAGTACAATTTTTAAATATGTGTAGAAAAAAATAAAATAAATAAATAAAAAGATGTCAGTGATGAGATCGACGGCCGGTTCTATGCACCTGATTACTTCGGAGGGACCAACCTTCGTCGAAGGACTGTCAACCCAGCAACCCGCGTATTTTTTCAACATGGAAGCTACATTTCCAGGAATGTTTGATACGGATTCTTTTGGTCCGTGCCGGGATTGAAAGAGACCCCGGACCATGGTTTTGAACAGTTTGTCACAATCACATCCACTATGGATATATTTCGGTGAGATGCAACGGATTAGGAGTTATGCAGACATAACTCCTGATAATGTCTCATTTCACCAATTCAATTGCGATGGACTTCGAGGGAAAAATAACGAGATCGTGAATTTCATGCGTCGCAGATGGCATGAATGAGGACATACACATCAGGATAGTGGTAAACAACCAAATCTCACCAGACATTTCCATACTGTCTCCAGGTCTGACGGATCTACCAACACCAACAGACCACCAAACTTCAGAACTTCTTAACGCCGTACTTTCATTACCCATAGGAAAGCCTATTGGCAAGAATTCAGAAATTTTACCAATCGTCAATTCAGTGAACTGCCCAATACTTCTTATGCTCGGATACAAGGAAGCAATTTTCGGGTCATTACCTTTACTGCAGCCGTTCGCTATATATCTACGAGTCTTATACCCGAATTGAGGCCAAACTTCCCAGCAGATGCAGCTAGGTGAGCGTATTGAGGTTTGCAAATAACCCTACTAACCACACAATCAGAGAACTGACGATGGAAGTGAACAGGTTATCGACGAGCACAAGCCGAAAAAGATGCTAGAACATCTGAAGTGTCGCGAGTATGTAAATTGTGTGCAATGGTTAAGTCGCTCTCGTAACCAGGAATGATGATCGGTCGTCTGTCTCATTTAACGGCGTTGAGAAGACAGATTCGAAAAAGTTCTCGAGTTGTTCAAACCGGCAGTTTTTAGAGCACACCGAGGTTGGATAGGCTAAGATATGAGTATTGCGCCGTATACGATCTCTTCAAGTGGATGAGGAAGCACCACAATTTATGTAGGAGGATTTTGGAAGTGTCATCATTCAAGGCATCTGGTTTGCATGGAATCTTCATGGTGATGTTTAAGCAGTTTGATGAGCCAGGAGTAGAGTACCGTCATCATTCAAGACATCTGGTTTGCATGGAATCTTCATGGTGATGTTTAAGCAGCTTGATGAGCCAGGAGTAGAGTACCTAAATAATGACCTCAACTTGCCGTTAACCACCCTAATAGTTCCCGATGCCTGGGAAATGGGCAGTGTGACGCTGCTACCCAAGTCAAACAAGAATGCCAGCAAAGGTAAGTCATACTGGCCGATCTCGCTTTTGTCGCAGAAGGTATGGCATTTGATGCATTGCAACTCCCTGGCATTCGTGAATGCCTCTCAGTTGCTGATGATCAACATGGATTCTGGAAGCAGCATAGCACAACGATAGCTTTGTACGCCATTTCCACGGATATAACGGAAGCAGTCAACCAGGATACTTGTGGTGGCGCTGGACTTATCGATATAATTTGATATCGTCAGTCACGTCAAGCTGTTCGAGGACATCGAAGGAACAACCCTCCAGCCAAGTTTGAAACGTTGGATCGTAAATTATATGTGTGGACGCCTATCGTACGTGGAATTTCGTAACTGCTTAACATCTACCTTTCTGAAATTCCACGCCCACCAGATGGCATAAATATCGTAGGATTGTACGATTATGGCGTCAGGACCGAAATTTATCACATTTGTAAGAGGCTGAACAACTATCTCGTGGATATAGATGATTTTTTCGGGCGGGGGAATATGGAAATATCCGCCACTAAATAAAAGGTCACACTGTTTACCACATAGACAGCGGACAGCTACCTTTGAATTTGCAGGTCGATGGAACCACAGTTCAGACCACCAATAACCCTAAGATTCTAGGGGTCACATTCGATTACCTTTATAGGTCGTCCGCACATGCCACATCTTCTTACGATAAAGTCAGAATCAGGAACAAGATTCTGAATCGCTAGCCGGCAGCACCTGGGGATCTGACAAAAAATATTGTTAACAACATGCACAGCAATAGACCGGTATGTAGTAAACAATGCGGCTTCAGTGTAGCCCGCCAACGCTAGTGCAACGAAATAGAAAATTCTTTAATTATGCCAGAATGCCGCCCTGACGACTGCATGACGAGACGAAGAAATACCTAGGCATGTCAGGAAGAATCTTCATGATCTGGAGAGATCAACAGGCCTACCAAGCAATTGAATCGTATTCACACGGATGCAGTTAAAGAATTAATTCGAAAATATCGAGTAAATATAATCTTAGGAGATCACCCGCCTACGATAGCAGCAGAAGAGCAATAGCTATGGTGAACAAAATCTGTCCGGCACGATACACCACTTCAATTGCCCAGCCAAACACGTTAATTTTGGACTCAATCGATACAGGTCGCAGCCTTTTTGAACTCGGAGTAAGAAGCAGAACTAGATTAAGCTAAAGAGAAATACACAACAGTATGAGCTGCTACAACAACACCAACAGATATATACACTCAGTCTAGGGCTTGCGAAAGTCTACAGGAGGAGTTACACACGTGATTTATATAAGGTATTATATAATTTTTCCAGAAGAATTATGTAAATCGATTTAAATATCAAAATGTTCAATTGTGTACGTTGTACAAATTTTCATGTCAATATTACAAACATGAGGAGATTCGTGCAGCATTTACTTAAAATCGGATGAAAATAGATATGGAAGCTAAATCCAAATATGAACCGATTTCAACGAAACTTGTCACAGGTTGTTGTACTAATTTCAGCAGGATTTTCAAGAAATTGTATACACATCATTCTAGACTTAATCCAGTATGCTATGCCAAATTTCGTGCAAATCGTAAGATATATAAGGACCTTGGAATACCATTTACATCATATCGGGCGAAAATATATATGAGAGCTATGTCTAAATCTGAACCGATTTTCAAGAACTTTCACACACATTATTCTAGACGCAATTAAGTATGCTATGCCAAATTTCGTGCCAATCGGAAGATATATAGGGACTTTGGCATACCATTTACCTAAAATCGGGCGATCTATATATGGGAGCTATATCTAAATCTGAACGGATTTTCACGAAACTTAGCACACGTCATTCTAGACTTAATTCAGTACGCTATGCCAAATTTCGTGCAAATCGAAAGATATATAGGTACTTTGAGGCCCCATTTGCCTTAAATCGGACGAAAAAATATATGGGAGCTATATCTAAATCTGAACCGATTTTCACGAAACTTAGCACACATCATTTTGGTCCTAATTCTGTACGCTATGCCAAATTTCGTGCAAATCGAAAGATATATAGGTACTTTGGTGCCTATATCGGACGAAAATATATATGGGAGCTATATCTAAATCTGAACCGATTTTCACCAATTTCAATAGGGTTCGTCCTTGAGCCAAATAAGTGACTTTTGCCAAATTTCAGTAAAATCGGATCATAAATGCAACCTGTATTTTGTTTACAATTTAACATCTACAGACGGACAGGATATTCCATGAAATTGGATATTCCGAAACGTATCTTCAATATTTTGAAAACAGTCGGGATATTTTAACGGAAACTATGTCAAAACATGGAGATATATTGAAAACTTTCTGTGGGTCCTTTAAATGAGGGTTATGTCAAATTTGAACATTGTCTACGAAACTGTTTTTTACCCTCCAAAAACTAGGCATATCAAATAAAAGCCATTTCGGCTGTACCATAAAATTGAGACTAGACACAAAGCTTAGAACTTTCTCATGATTTCGGAATACAGATAGGCATTGAAAATGTGAAATATCGAACCATGTTTTCGTATAGCCCTCATATTATGGTACCTTCTAAATTTCAGAATTTAAAAAAGTGTCCCTATTCCAGAAAATACCGATATTTGGGAGGTATCGATATATACCGTTATAGAAAATAGTTCACCAATATTGATGGACAAATATTTCCTATAGCCTCCATACCGGCTATATTCGCAATTTTGGGCGTTTTTTTATCCGAATTGGTTATAATTTTGTTCTCATTGGGTGTCATATCTTTCTATCAAAATTTACACCATGGATGGTGGTGGGTATTAAACATCCGGCCCGACTGAACTTTACGACATTTTTAGTTGTTTGTTATTTGGAATACATTTTCCCTATCCAAATGGAGTCTATAAGCTCATAGAAGGGGAAAGTACCAATGTTATAACCACGCTTTCTGGAGATTAAAACTAACTGGAAATTTAAGGCAATTAATCGATGTTAACGTTTCCACATTGTGGAGAATATAATAAAATCCCTTTCGAACACAAATCCTGTTTTACTTGTTACTATTTGTGATTTTCCTTTGTTGATCCGCTGTCAATATCCTTGTTTAACCACATCTATCACGACATATCAGCCACCCGTGTATGACTTCAACCACAATAAATTTAATAAAATAGCAACATATCCTAGCTTATTTGTCACACTCACACACAAACATAGGAAATAACTAATCTATCAGCTGTACATAGATATTTTCCCCTTCAATTCCTCTATATAACACATATACACACACAGATATATAGTTTTCTTTATTAACTTACCCATTAACACAAAATTGGTTGGCGTCGACATATTCTTTTTGCTTAATATCAGGACAATCAATGAATTGGACAGAACGGTGACTATTAACAGAAATGGCATGCAATAACCGTACAAAGGTACCACATAATCCACAGGTGTATCACAGGTGAGATTCCAATAGGTCAGATTCGAGAGGGGATCTCTGTCCTGGCAATTGAACGAGTAATCTGTACCATTGAAATTGTGATAGAAATACGATGAATTGTCGGTGTCGAAACCAAGGCCAGGATCAAAACCACCAGGACTGAATTCATCTCTCATGCCAAGGCCAATACCAGCCATGGCAGACGAACCTGCACCGAGGCCGACGCCACCACCGCCCCCGTCACCACTCCAATAAATTAGACCTGTTGTATCGTAGGGATGTGGTTGAGAAAGGTTATGGCTGGCTGCTGGCGTGGCTGTGGTGGTGTTGGTGACGAGGATGCTGCTGCCGATGATGATGTTGTTTTCACCACCACCACTACTACTACTGCTATTGCTGTTTCTGTTCGTTATGCTACTATTGGTCGAGTGGCTTGTGTTCGTGACCGGCATGGCCACAATATTATTATAGGGGACTGGATTGCTATTGTCCATAATGGAGGGTGCCATGACAGCAGCAACTGTCTCTGTTACAACTGTGACCAGTGTCTGGTGTAGATTATTCATAATCCGCTGTTGCTGTTGTTCCTGTTGTTGTGCACCAGTGTCGTGTAGGATCATTACCAATCATTTGATTAATAAAAGTTCACAATTAGTAATGATATGAAGCGCGTTGTGGAGGACGACGGCTGGTATGCAAACCAGATGCCAAGGATAGTTTAGAAGATTTCGTTTCTTTTTTCAATTAATGCAGCGATTCTGTTGAACCATTAAATCACTTGTCACGGAGCGTTTGTTATCTCACAGACTCCCCATTCCGTTTCTGCAACAATACTGCTGTGTACTAGCTTTTCCAATTAGGTTTGTCCTTAAAATTGGTTTCGCCACAGCTTTAATTGTTGATTTCATTTAAAATTAATTACATCGACTCCCTGCTGCTGTTATTTTGTCCAAATTCTTGTTATACACTAACGTTGTTATTGTTCTGGTTCCAGTGCAGTATATCGAACACGTGCGTCCGCATCGCAACGTTGTTTTTCGATTGTTTGTTTTTTTTTCTCTCTAAAATATTTTCATGAGCTGTTTCTAGTTGTGGGTTTGAGTGTGTTTTGTTTTTTGGGAATTGTTTGTTTTCATTGGATTTTTTTAGTTTTCTGCTGTTAGTCCATATTTTTCGATTCTATAGCTCCTGTGTGTATAGCTCCTGTGGCGTTTTATATTGTAGAACTGCAAATACAAAACAAAAAGAAGAAAGAAAACAAATAACACAAATAAGTTCTTCTTAAAACAAATAAAAATTGTATACATAATATTATTCAATGTAATGGAAATAGTTGGAAAAATTGGCGAAAGGAAGAGGATCTTTTTTTCAATATCAATTAAATTTGCAAGTACTGCAAATCCTTTAAAAATGCCGAAAATGTGGCGGGGACTTTATGTAAGAGCTATGTTAAGACGTGGATCATTTTCGAAACTGGCATTCCAATTTTCAGCTAATTCGGTAAGTTTAGTGGGTTTAGCAGAATTAAATACTACCAGAATAAATAAATGCACAGATGTCAATCACTCCTCAAGAACCCTGAATTAGATGGGACTTAGATGGGAGCATTGTCTATATATAGACCTACAACGTAACTTTTGTGGAAATCGTTTGACCCTCCAAAAACAGGAAACGACTCGAGGCGTACTCTGCCAACGTGTGTAACCTCAACCCATTGTTTCATAAGCCGAGCTTGTAGCTTATTATGTAAAGGCTACATTAAAAATAATAAATTCAGTTTTTTTCGCTTCGCCTAAAATACTCCCCTTAGCTTGCCAGTTAAGACTCAATACACATCTCAGCTTCAGTTTGGCTAAAAAGTCTCTTGGAGTCGCAGTTTGAATTTGAACCACTCAAATCGTCTCCCTGCAGCTCTTCTATAAAGTTTTCAAATTTGGCTTATCTATAAAAACTACATTCAAATCGTCCATAGAGATTCCCTTTAGCTCGCCTATAAACACTCTATTCAGTTTGTATCCCTTCAGCTCGTCCATAAAGACTCCCTGCTACAGCTCGTGTATAAAGACTCCCTGCTACAGCTCGTGTATAAAGACTCCCTGCTACAGCTCGTGTATAAAGACTCCCTGCTACAGCTCGTCTATAAAGACTCCCTGCTACAGCTCGTCTATAAAGACTCCCTGCTACAGCTCGTCTATAAAGACTCCCTGCTACAGCTCGTCTATAAAGACTCCCTGCTTCAGCTCGTCTATAAAGACTCCCTGCTTCAGCTTGTCTATAAAGACTCCCTGCTTCAGCTCATCAATAAAGACACCCTGCTTCAGCTCATCAATAAAGACTCCCTGCTTCAGCTCGTCTATAAAGCCTCCCTGCTTCAGCTCGTCTATAAAGCCTCCCTGCTTCAGCTCGTCTATAAAGCCTCCCAGCTTCAGCTCGTCTATAAAGACTACTTGCTTCAGCTCGTCTATAAAGCATCCCTGCTTCAGCTCGTCTATAAAGCCTCCCAGCTTCAGCTCGTCTATAAAGACTCCCTGCTTTAGCTCATCAATAAAGACTCCCAGCTTCAGCTCGTCTATAAATATTCCCTTTAGGCTGTCGATGCGTCAGTAGTTCACACATGAACGACCCCTTCAACTCCTCTGTATAAAATCCCCTTAATAGTTTATTTTATATTTATTTGACAACATATGTTTGCATATCTATTAGGTGTGTCAACACCACCCTCTCCATATAGCATTTTTAGTATAATTACTTATTTACAAAAGTGTTATCTTCCAGTAGCGCCCTACACCCCCCTTCAGAGCTCTGTTTACACAATTAATTATTTTGACTTTTTGATTCCGTATGAACCATATGACCATTCGCTCCATCCGCTCTTAGATTTCCATTAGCAAATAGCATTGACTTATAGCATTATCCATTGGTGCCTTTGTGGCGTTCGTTATTTGCATCGTAAATGATGTTCACATCAACGAATGTTATCAGGTTACGATGCTGCTGCTAATGACATTTGAGTCTCGGTGGTTATAACTGCTTTGCTTCGGTAATTCAATACAATTAAGCAATCAACACTCAACTAATTGTCCCCTTTCGGTTGTCGGTTGTGGTATGTTAATGGATGTTGGACAATGTTTGGCCGTGACATCATTCATTCATAACCGATGAATTTTCTGTGGATTTATTTATTTTAGTTTCGTTTTTTTTGTGGTAAATTGATATTCTGTTGAATTTGCTTACGTAGTGAAATTTTAGATTTTAATTGCCATGTAAGAATAGAAAAAAACGTTGTTGAAAAACAAATATTGATAATTATTGATGATAGGAGATTTCTTAAAATACCCGAAGCAACCTAGATGGGCGTTAGACTAAAAAAATGACTCAAAGGGTTCCCAGTATTCTGAGTACATCTCTAAAATTACATGACTATATTTTCAAAGAAAAAAATTTCCATTGCATAACATTAGAAAAAAATCGGAAATTTCCAATTTCCATTTTTCTTTCTTTTCTCGTTCTAATTGCCTCATTATGTAAATGTAAATTGGAAAAAAAGCATGGTGATCTAACAATTGGAAAGGATTTATATTTAGTTATACAATTTGCATTGCTTGTTAGCAGGAAAAATATGAAATAATTTGCATTTCTTTGCCAAATAAAAGAAAAGTTTTTCAAAAGAAAAACATAAACAAGGACATTGTTTGTTATGAAGAGATAGCGAATAGAGGCATTACTTTTTAAAGAATTTCCGATTATGGACTATGTTTATCATTCGGCGTAAAAATTTTTTTTGATTTAATTCGAATCTGCACTAATTCAAGAATGTCCATACAAAATTTTAAGTGAAAATCTCAAGAACTCTTAAAGATATAGCCGATTTATTGTGTCAGCATCAAGTGACGGCTAAAGGGCTTCTCAAACTTTAAACGCGTTTTTATACCCTCCACCATAGTATGGAGGGTATATTAGTTTTGTTTTTTCCCGTTTGTAACGCATCGAAATAATCATTTCCGACCCTATACAGTATATATATTCTTGATCAGCGTAAAATTCTAAGACGAATTAAGCATGTCCGTCTAAATAACTTTTAAACGAATTGAAAATTTTGCATCGTCTTTTGTCTGCAGGCAGGTCAAGTTCGAAGATGGGCTATATCGGCCCACGTTCAGGCATAGCTCCCACATGAGGGTACCCCCAATTTTCGGCATTTTGAGGTTCTTGAGCGTGTTTTTCAACCAAATTCGATGAAATTTGGTACTTTGAGCTATTATTGGGTACAAAACTTCCTCACTAAAAATTATAAATATCGGTCCATTTTTTGGGATAGCACCTCTATAAGGGTACCCCCAAATTTTCGATATTTTGGGTGTTTTGAGGTTCTTGAGCGTGTTTTTCAACCAAATTCGATGAAATTTGGTACTTTGAGCTATTATTGGGTTTCCTGGTTTTTTTGATAGCACCTCTATAAGGGTATCCCCAAATTTTCGGTATTTTGGGTGTTTTGGTCGCATTTTTCAACCGATTTTAAACAAAGTACTCTATATCTGTACAAATGAAAAAAATAGTATAGGTTGCAGAATGACATGTATATGGATCCAATTTCATTCTACTGGTCCATTAAAAATTAGACGTCTGTTTGGATTCATCTGTTGAATATACCCAAAGTGGTGAAGGGTATCATATTGTCGGCCCCGACCGACTTTAATACTTTCTTTGCTGGTTTATATTAAAATAAATATCTCATTTGTTCCGCGTTTTGAGTTTGGCCCAAAGACTCTGTTAAAATCATTTCTCCTGCGGGGGATAGGGAGATAAAAAATTATAACGTAAGGTTCGATAATGAACTATAGCCGCATTTAGAGGTTCCAGATAGAGTGGACCGCTATTCCTCATCTTTGAATTTGAACTAAGTTTGGAAGAAATAATAAGATGGGCAAAGTTTGGATGAAATCTAAATTTTTCTAGAACCAATATTTCGATGAGGCACATTTTCACCGTGTTAAATGGTATACACCCTCATAGGGAATAATTATCTATTAAAAATTAGAAATGTCGGTATAGGTCCACTTTTTGGTATGTTCCCTATATTTTCATTTCAATTACCTCTCAGTATATCTATGGTGGAGGGTATCCAAAGTTCGGCCCGACCGAACTTAACGCTTTTCCACTTGTTATATTATCTGATTTGTTCTGCGTTTTGGGTTTGGTTCTAAGACGCTGTTGTAATCATTTCACCTGCGGAGGATAGTTCGTAAGGTTCGATAATGTACTATATATGATTTACCTTATGGCATAGGCGAGGATTTCTTGCAAAATATTTTTCAAAAACAAGCACAAGCGCGGACTTTTTCAAGAATATTTTTTTCAAGTACCAACAAGAGCGTGGATATTTAAAGAATATTGTTTCAAGGACCAGCGTATGGGTGAATTTTTTGAAGAATTTAAAGAATATTTTTCAAAGACGAGCATAATATTTTATCGATTTTTAATTTGACACTCATTATACTAATCCTTATAATGCTTACGACATGACCTTACACTTTTAAATGTTGCTCTCTTAAATAGAAAATCTAATTTTCCA